CTGACCCCCCAGCCACACACGGCCTCCACGCTGGGCGCTGTCCTGACCCCCCAGCCACACACGGCCTCCACGCTGGGCGCTGTCCTGACCCCCCACCCACACACGGCCTCCACGCTGGACACTGTCCTGACCACCCCCTAATCACACGCGGCCTCCATGCTGGATGCTGTCCTCACCCTGCATACACGATCCAGCCACACGTGGCCTCCAGATGGCCTTTATGCACGACCTCTCCTTGGTCCTTGGTCCTGGGTTTCTGCATTCTTGGGTCAGTGGCTGCCATCTGAACAAAAGTTTGAATAAAATACCTGATTTGCGGCCAGGATCAGGGGCACGTTTGTCAGGAGCTGGCCATCTCATTGTTGGAGGTCACCCCAGCCTGGCAGGTTTCCGAGCTGGTAGAACTTCCTCAAGCTACCTCTGGTCAGCGTGGACCCCGACGTGGTGGAGTGACCAGCTCGTCCTGTGTTTCTCCTTCCTCCCCCCAGCTGTTTGATGAGGAGAATCCCGTGCACAAGTCAGGGACCAGATACATGTTCACCACAGAGGGCCACGTCTTCTCCGTGGATGCACGCCTCCGGGAGTCACCCTGGAAGGAGTTCCTTTCCCAGGAGGACACACAGGACCAGGACGGGAGAGCCCTGCATGGGCCCAGGTCTCCTGAGTTAAAGACCATCAACTCCAGTTCCAATGTAAGTGACTTTGTCTGAGGGTGATTTGCATGTGGAGGAGGAGAAATGACCAGGGGGACAGACTGGACAGAGTGCTGGCAGGACGCCAGGGTGGGCATTGATGGGGTGGGGACATTGATGGGGTGGGGTGAAGAGTTCCTAGAGTGAGGGTCATGGGGAAGCCAGCATGCACACAGGCACCACTGTCACCCTAAGACCTGAAGGGTGGGGTGGGGGGGGTGCCTGGGAGGAGAGAGTCCATGCAGAGATGCACCTGGCTTAGGGACCTCACGAGGGGGAGTAGTGTAGGAGATGCTTCTTGTCCTTGCACCCCTGTTCCCCAACCTTCTCCATGCCTATGGACCATCTTCCTAGCTGTCCCTACCCATAGCCCCACCCCTCTCATCTCCTGTGGACGGTCCCCTTAGGTGTCCTCACTCCTCTCATCTGTGGACGGTCCCCTTAGGTGTCCCCATCACCCTTCTCCTGTGGACTGTCCCCGTAGCTGTCCCTGCCCTCTCATCTCCTGTCCCCACCAAAATCCAGAGGTCCAGTAAATCTTGACAGAATCAAGCAGGTCAGCCTTGGGCAGGAGGAGCAGGGTGCATGCTGGTCAGGGGCCACTCTGGGAGAGGTCCAGCACATTCACCCAGCTGCCCGAGAGGGCACGGCTGTCGCCAGCCCTTGGCGCCTTGCTGAACACGCTCCTGAGACGCAGCAGGGCCCCTCCTGTCAAGCAGGTCTTCACTGAGCATGTCCACATTTCCTTTACAAGCAACTAAAACAACCAGTCACACAACTAAAAGGCCACCCAGCCAGGACGCTGTGGCCATGGAGAAGTCACGTGGGTCAGGGGCAGATTGCTCCTAAGTGGTCAGTGACCAGGGTGCTCTGGACAGACCTGCTGGTAAGGAGCTGTGCTGCCAATCCAGAGGCACAGGGTTTGAATCCAGCAGCTGCTGTCTGGGAGAAGGATGAGCAGTTACAGCCTCTGAAGACCTACTGGAGGGTCAGCGGGGAGTCGATTCTGACTCTGGCGCCCAAGAGCAAGATCAGCTTCTGCCGTAGGTCCGTCTTCCACAACGCTTCTGGGTAAACACAGAAAAATTGTAGACACCTCCAGGACTTTGTGACATTCCAGGTGAGCGAGAGACCTGGCGTTTGGTCCTGGCCATGTGTCACTATGGTGGTCTTCTGGTCACTCTCGTGTCCACTTGTACACCTGTCAAGGTGTTAAATTAGGGGAGTGGTCCTAACAAGGGCTGGTTTTGTTCCTTGGATACCAGTCAATTTTCAAGACATTTTTGTTGGACATTTGCGAGGGAGAAGGGCTGGCTTCCTGCGTTTGGTTAGTGGAGACCAGGATACCACTGAGAACCCCAAAAGCCACAGGCCAGGCCTCCAAGCAGTTCTCCAGCCCCTGATACCACGCTGTGGCGTTCTCAGCTGCCTCCCGTGCATGTGGAGGCCGGAGAGTGAGTACGCAAGCCCAGCAGAGTGCATGCCTTGGCACTGTGACCTTGGGAAGGAATATTCCAGATCCCATGGAGCCAGAGGAACGTGTGTCCCGGGAAAGAGGAGCGAGGATGGACATGTTATCAGAAGGGCAGCGTAGTGCTGGACGAGAGAGGATCAGTGACCAGAGGGGAGGATGCTCAGTGGACGGGACGTGGCCCACGCTTGGTTCTGTGGTGGCTGCATCAGACCCAAGCCCAGCCGTCAGCGGTACCCAGCTGGAGAGACCCCACAGGAGCCTGCCCGCGCTTCACTGGGGCTCGAAATGAAAATCCGTGTTTCCTCTCCTGTTTTTCCCCAGTGCAACCGTGTTCCTGAGGAGAGGCGCTACGCCTTGCCCTTAAAGAGCGTCTACATGCGGCAGATTGACCAGATGGTTGGCCTGATTTGAACCTCTGACCTCCAGGGAGCTGTGCTTCAAGCCAGACACTGATGACACCCTATCCCTGGGCGAAATCCTTCCTGGAGTGGAAGGAAGAAGAGGGGCGTGTGGCTGTGCGTGGCGGTGACGGGACTTTGTCCTGCTGCCCATCTGTCCTCAGTTCTGGTTCAGTGTTTCTTTTCTGTTCAGTGAAATGCCCCTATTTTTCTTAAAGATGCCATTGGAAATGAGCAAGGTCTAGCTGAGCTGGCTTCTTAGGCAATGCCGTTGTTTCTGAGCACAACCGATGGGCATCTTTGGACTCACTTTGGCAGCGCGCTCTTTAGAATCTAGCGCTCCTTGCTGGTGCCCGTTGTGCAGTATTGCTACCTCTCCCCCGGGGATCGTGAGCGACTCCTCGGCTCCCTCCCAGCAGCATCCACGATGCCATTCAGTCTCTGGGGAACTGGACAAGCCCAGGTACCAGCCAGTGTCTGGTCACACAGGGAAAAATAGAACCACTGACCGGTTGGTACCCCACATAATCTTCACAGTGTTTCCGATTACTTGCTAAGATCAGTGGGCGTCCTGCAGCCCCTCAAGTGCCGCATCCTGGTGGGGACGTGACGAGGTGACCCATGTGGCAGGGACATGAGCTGCTCTGTGGAGCCTCCGGACGTGACCAGTTGCCTTTCTGGGAGTGAGACACGCTGACGTCTTCTGGTCCTCCCTTGTCCAGCTCATGTTTCCTGACCCAGGATTCTCAGTGCTGACTGTGTTTGGGTTGAAAGCCTGTATTGCTTTTGTTTCAATGTTTAGTGCCAATTAGCTATGTCAGGACAACAAAAAGAAATTAGTCTGAGACATTCAGACACGCCGTGCGCAGCGTCTGCATCGTGGGCAGCGTCTGCCGTGGGCAATGTCTATGCCGTGTGCAGCGTCTGTGCCATGGGCAGCGTCTATACCATGGGCAACGTCTGTGCCGTGGGCAGCGTCTGCGCCATGGGCAGCGTCTACACCATGGGCAACGTCTGCGCCGTGGGCAGTGTCTGTATGGCGGGCAGCATCTGTGCTGCGGGCTTGAGAATAGTGCCTTAGCCCGTTTGGCTCGACTCGCTGAGTGTTGCAGCCGTGGTAGCTCTGGGGCCCGTTTGCTGTCCCCATGTAGTGGGACCACAGTGCCAGGGTCAGACGAGTGGGTGAGCGGTGCCCACACTGTCTAGGCCAGTCCTGGTGGTATAGTCGGTGTTGAGGGGACGGAGGCCCTGAAATGCCTTTCTTGGTCGTGAGTACCTTAGTCAGAATAGGCGTCTTTGAGCTTCTTGCACTGCCCGCCCGTGCAGCCGCCCCAGCCCACCTCCACTTCCTGGACCTGGGGCTAGAAGCGCGTCCCCATCCTGTCCGGTCCCGTCCATCCTCCCATCCATGTCCCTCCCCCCATGCAGACACCCAGCCTCACACCCACATCGCCCCGCTGCTTGCTCCTCTCGGCTGATTGCGGTCCAAGAGCTAGATGCCGCTAAGCCATTGCATTTTCATTCAAAAGGGAGACATTTTTATTCTCTTGGAAGTTTAAGGATTACTCTTTTTAAAAGCAGATACACAATTTAGTTCTTGGAAATTTTAAAAAGGAGATTTTCAATTATGTATCACCACTAACTTTTAAATGTTTACTATGCAAATTATTTTTAAAGTAAAAAAAAAGATCAAATGCTTCCGTTTTTCTTTCTTTGACACCGTCTCATCTGTTGACTAGGCTTTTTCTTCGAGGGTGCTCTCTTCAGTGGCTCTCCTCCCAGACTGGAGTCCCCACTACCCTGACACGGGGTCTGTGGGCGGCGTGAGGTGCAGCCAGGTGGGAGTGGGCCCGCAGTCCCTCTTGGTGTCCTCCCCACTTCCTGTCCAGTGCCCGGCGGCCCCTGTCCAATTGTCTCGTCTGGGGCCTGGCCCTGCTGCCCTGTGGCTCCTTCAGCTCCCAGCACTGTCTCCCAGGCTCCAGGCTGAGGGGAGCTGGGTCTGGTTTTAAGCCTGATAACTGTCTTCCTGGCCCTGGAAAGCTGGGCAGCAGGTGTGAAGGAGGGGTGTGACTTTGAGCTTCCCTGGGGCTGTGGTCCACAGTTGGGCACATGTGGGCATTGCCTGGTGGGGAGGTGGGCATCGTGCCTGCGACGGCCAAGCTCACCGTGCGCTTGTTTCCTGGTCACACCTGTGATCTCTCTGTAGGACTTTGCCCGTCCTCCCTCCTCTGTGCTGTGAATGGGGGGCTGAGGCCGGACCCCCTGACCCAGCGCTTTCCCCACAGTGCCCGGCTCTGTGTGGGGCAGCTCGTGGGGCAGCTGCCCTTCTGTCCCTGCACGTGCACCCATTTTGTCTTTGTCAGCACAGTGGCAGTGACACTGGGCCTGCAGGTCCGGGCCGTGGCCTTCTAGACGGGCTTGGTGGCCTCTCATCCGAGTTTCACATCCCTGCAGGTCTGCTTAGCTGCTGAGACCACGGGGCCAGGGCCTCCTTCCCTGGGAGAGGGGATGAAGGGCTCCCGTGCTCTGCGGTCCTAAAGGCCTGTGTGGAGAACCAGCCCCTTCCCCCTTCCCTTGCTTCCGCCCCGGTTTTCCAGAATGTTCTCTGCTCACCAGTCCTGACTCTGAGCTGTGCGGGGCTTGTCCAGCGTTGGGGACCACATGGCCTGTGAGTAGTTTCTTTGTGTTCAAGCACCTGCAGTGGACGTCAGGGTAGAGTTCAGGGTAGTCTTGAGCTGATTCAGCTGTGCAGTCTGGGGTGAGGGTCTCACCTGGACCCTTACCCTCTGCACGCTGTGTGGTTATGGACTGCTGCTTCATGTTAGGTTCTGTAGAAGTGACCTCAGATCTGCCCCCCCCCCCTTCTGGAGGACTCCCCGTCTCTCCGGGACTTTTTCCGATTGTGTGTTGGTTTCTACTTGGGCTGAGTGCTGACCGCAGCGGCAGCCTGGCTGGGCAGGGCCTCGGGAAGCTGTCCTTCCTGCTCTTTGCTTTCTACCGCGGACCTCCAGTTCCCACATGTGCCTCTTTTCTGCAGGGCAGGGACCCCGGGTGGCGTGTGGGGCACCGACTCCATGTCCCCAGGTCTTGTGAGGTTCAGGGTTGCACTGCCCATGCGATGTGGCTGTGAACGTGGCGAGCGTGGCCCCCACCTATGGAAGCCCACTTCGCCACCCTTTCCTCTGTCCAGAGGCCGGGATAATGTTTTTAAGGCCTTTTGGTTTTCATTTGAAACAACAGGACACAGGGCAAGCTCGTGTCCACTCGGGGGTGCAGCCTCCAGGACACACAGGCCTTCTCTCCAGGGTGCAATATACTTTGTAGCTAAAGATGTTTTATGTAAATAAGAAATTATTTAAATCAAAGGGAAGCTTTTTGTAAAAGGACCAAATGTTCCTTTATAAATGTATTAAGGAATGAGTATCGTACTCTTTGGAATTTATTGGAATTTTTATGAGTAATTTTTATTAAAAGATTCTCTTGCTGAGTTGTGTTTGCCTCCCTTCACACTCGTGTGTACGTATCACATGCACGACGAACAGAACACTCCTTAAAAGGACATTGTAGAACTCCAGAAAGAAAATCTTCATTTTAACTTCCTTTTATTGTGAAATCCTGTGTCACACTTTCCCGGGGAGCTCTGGTGGTGCAGGGGGAAGGAGCTGCATTGCCAACCCAAACGCAGGCAGTTCGAGTCCACCAGCTGCTCCACAGGGGACCACGGGTGGTCTGCTCCGGCATCATTCACGCTCTCGGAGCTTGCTGGAGGGTCAGCTGCGAGTCAGATCCGACACTGCTAACAGCACCACCACTTTACTGGTGGAATGGTCTCACTGTCCACTACATACCACCGAGAACCACTTCAAGCCATCTTTTGGGGGTTCCGTTTGTACCCCATCTACGGCAGTGTCCTCCCCACATTGGCGTCCTTTCAGCTACCACTGCTGCTGGTCCTAGTGGTCCCACATTCTAGACCAGGCTTGTTGGTGGTCTGTCCATCCACACCTCAAGGTCATGGCCAGAATCATGGCCCTGTGTGGTCAGTGTAAAGTGCGCAGGGGAGACCCTCCGTCCTTCCGCCACCTGGTTCCCAATATGTCCCGGAACTTCACAGTGCCTAGCTTCGTGCCTGTGAACATTGAAGAACGTGGCTTTAGGGCAGAGTGATGGAGGGCAGGGTGACGGAGGGACAGAGGGCAGGGTGATGGAGGGAAGGGTGACAAAGGGACAGAGGGCAGGGTGATGGAGGG